TACCATGTAATCATTCATGGAGAGAGAGAGAGACGAGAGAGAGAAAGAGAAGAAGAGGAAGATATGATTGAGAGAAAAAGAAAAAACCTTCTTCTGACTGCCGCCAGTTCATTATTTATATTAACTTAATATAAAAAGAATGGAAATTACAAGTATGCCCCTGGCAGCACTCCCTAGAAACAAACTAATAAGAAAGAAAATAACTAACTGACAGCATCTTAAGCGGACAACCCACTAACAGCAACTATAAAATAACAATTAAATAATCCTCACAACATGCATCAACCACTGTTTGATGAGGGTCACAATGACTTAAATACAACTAGATTGGAAGAAGCTGATAGTGAAAAAACTGAAGCAATGGAGACCTTGGCTTGGCTTGTCCTCCCTTGCCATCAAAGGAGATTTGAGAAACACTATTGGATGGATTGGGGAGAAGAATGGAGGGCCATGGAGGCTTGCTCACTATTTGGATGAGGCACGGGATCTTCGAGACTCTTTGAATGCTAATCTGTACTGGATTCTTAGAGAGTTAAACTCTGTAGCAGATTGGTTGGCTAAATCGGGAGCCCATAGGGAATTTTTACATAGTGAGAGAGTTATGCCTTTGTAACCTGTGTGTGCTTCCTGTTGTACATACTCTCATGTACCCTTTCTTGTTTAATGAAATCTGTTATCTTTTATCTAAAAAAAAAAAAAAAAAACCTGAAGGTTGATGTCCACTTCCTCGAGAAAAACACAGTTTTGGAACTGGAAGGGATTAATGAGAACCCTTCTTGCACATTGGAGTTCAGGAAGAATGTTTTAGCATATAGAAGACTTCAAAAACAGAGAAAAACATTGAGATGTTTTGGTCTCAAAGGCTTTTGCTAAACTAAAAGAGGGTCTCTTTGGGATTAGACCAAGCAAGAAGATTTTGAAGACCAAGAAAACCTCTAGAAGTTTTCAGTGGTCAGTGGTTTAAAAGTTGTAGTCTTTGAGAGTGGTTATGGTGTTGGTTTTTCGAGAGGGGATGTTGTTTTCATGGGGTTTTAAGTGGTTCTATTTGTGCTGTTTTTGAGGTTTTGTTCTGAGGTGTTTGGGTTTTTTGGTTGTGGGTTGTGTTTTTGGTGGTAAGTTAGGCTTTTGGTTATTGCTGGTTTTTGTTGAGATTCGGTTGTGTTGGTTTCTTGTTTGGGAGTTGAAGTTTGTTTTTTTATTTTCTCTCTCGAGTGACTTCTGGCAACCGCCCTCTGTACTTTCCTTTTTCATTTTAATAAATTTTATTTTATTACCAAAAATAAATTTCCTGACTACTGAAGGATGATGCATGTTAGTTCAATTCCTTCAGGATGTTAAGTGGGAATTAGGAACTTATTTGTTGCTTTCTTTTTCATTATTTTGTTTGTTTATTTGATAGGTTTTCACGCCCCATACTGCATGGATTGTGCACCCTTGGCTTTGCTGTTAGGGCAGTTATCAAATGCATTTGCAATGGAGATCCAACCAAAGTGAAGAACATATTAGGCCGTTTTCTTTTACATGTCTACCCTGGGGAGACCTTGATTACCGAAATGTGGCTAGAAGATTCAAGGTAGATTTTGATTTGTGCTTTGTTTGTTGATTAATGTATTATCATACTCAAAGGACTAATCTTGGAATTATTTGCAGGGTCTTATATCAGACAAAGGTGAAAGAGAGAAACAGAGCAGTGCTGATGGGTTACGTTACTCTGAAGCACATAGCTTCATCGCTATGAGGTGTACATCGTGCATGATCCCTAAATTGCTAAATTGAGGATGATGGCTTTTAGTGTTACTCGTTATGCTCAGCTACATTATTTGTACTGAACTAGGGCTGAATATGAAATTATGAACTCCCGCAGTTATTATATGTTCCGAAATATATGCAGGTCGGCAACATAATAGACCACCATGGTCCATGGATGCAGTATAGATTGCATGGTATTGCGCTTATTGAATCATCATCATCACCAGAGCAAAAAATTAGCATCATTAGTGTATAGCAATCATCGAGTAGTTTTATGATATCTGCCAACTAGTAATTTGCAATCAAGATAGGCTAGGGATCTTGTTACTTTATTAATTGGTAGTTTGCAACCACGTAGCCTAGTCAGTCTCGTTAATCCCAATGCAGATCAGATTATCCAGTGAATCAATAACTCTTTCAATTAAGTTAAAAAACACAAGGAAAATTAGGAAATAGGAACGTGATTCCTTTTTTGTTTTAGCTTTTCTATTGGATGTCACATTGTTACTTTCAATGCAACAAGTCATTATTTTCCTTTATGTTACGTGCCACTGCCACCAAAGGCAGCGAGGACATGGTTCAATGTTTTGATAACCACTGGAAACTCGAGAAAGGGAATTCACGGCTTGAGTGGTTAAACGTCGGGTTGAGAAGTATGAATCCGATCCGACTTAATTTCAGGTTGGGTTAGGGTCTTACCATCTTAGGGATGTGTGATTGAATACACCAAGAAATGGTCGCAGACTCGCTCAACGGGTACTTAATGACAGACATGCATCTCCTTCGAATTGAATGACTGGTTGGACTAGTTGGACTAGTTGCCTACCACATCTACATGTGTGGGTGTGGTGTGGGTTAACACCCTACTAGTTTCTTCTTATTTTCCAACACCCGTAGGCTAATTAATAACAAATAACCCATCTGTTAGGGGCTGTGTTTCTCATGTTGCTGCCTTACCCTATGTGCTGCTATGTAATGCCTTTACTCCTCAAAGTGATCATTCATATTCATGTATCTCTTCTTGTCCTGTACTCCTTCCAGATGAGTATCAGAAGAGAACAGAAATGTGTTTAGTAATTGCTTGCAGGTTGCAGCCCATGAACAATTACGCATCCAGTTGGGCCTCATGCTGCACCTGTTGAAGCTTTACCAAGATGACGGGTCTAGGCCCAGCTAGATCCAGGTCCAGCCACTTGTGTCCCACTACACTAGATATACAACGTTGTCCACATGTTGCAGGGCTCTACTACAATCCTATAAGCAATAAGCGGATTGGTTATGGACTTGGGCACTTGGTATGCACAAGCAAAGGTAGAGCTCGACACAACAAAGCCTTACTCCGACTATATAGCAGGTGATGAGGGCGGATTTGGCTCTCCAATGATATTGTGACACATGGCACCTCGGAACAACTATGTGACACTCAGAACCACTTTGGCAACAACTTGCCTTGACCAAGTTGATGGTGACCCACCTGGTGGCCCTGGCACAGGCATGACCTAGTGGCTTGGCCCTGGCGCGAGCTGGCAGCTAGCACAGGCACGACCTGGCGGCCTGGCCCAGGCGCAACCTGGAAACCTGGCACAGGCGCGACCTGGCGGCTTGGCATAGGCACCGACCTGGCAGCCTGGCACAGGCACGACCTGGTAACCTGGCACATGCGTCGACCTGGCGACTTGCAAGACGTGCTCGCCGACGAATTCGACATGCATATCCAAACACTCCCACGATCCATGGAAGTTGGCCCACGTGCCGAACGATCCGGAGGGTGGTCAACGTGTATGGCGGTTACCTCTAGGAATCTCAAACCACTTAGACGACCTCGTAGAAATCTCAGATATGGTGCATGAAGCCCATGCCAAACAATGCCTATATAAAGGCACCAACCCCAATGGCAAGGAGGCAAGTAAAAAAAAAAAGCAAGTAGGCAAGTTCTAGCTCTCTAAAGAGCAACGAAGCTCATCAATTCAACTCGGCCCTCTGGTCAGTCCGATACCTCACAGGCTGCTCGGCATCTGGTCAGTCCAACACCTCACAGGCAGCTCAACACCTAGTCAGCCCGGCACCTCACAGGCAGCTCGGCACTATAGTTAGCTCACCACCTAGCCTGCCCAGCTCAACTCAGCTCGGTAGCCAAAGTTTACTTCGGCCTGAGTCATCGGCCACTTGGAAGCAGACCAAATAACGAGATATTTAGCCAAAAAATTGATAGATGACCAAAAATTAATACATTACCGGGGGTCGGTCAAACTAAGAGGCCACAGGGAAAACAACATTTCAATTTTGGAGAACCACATCAAAAGCATCTTCAATTCTTCATTGCTTCTTCTAGGATTAAAAACGCGTTACCAATTACCACATACCACCGGCAGCATATGGGCTACATTAAAACGGGACCGGGAACGGGATCCCAATGCAACCCATGGGTATGAGTTGGGTTGATTATTGGTCTGGCCCATGAAAAGAACGGCTACAAGCTACAAAGACGAAGACGATCGCCCCCAGGCCCCAACTCTCACTCCAGAGTCCAAGAGTCCAGAGCCGGTGAAATTCGCTCTATAGAAATTAGAAACTAGAAACAGAGGCGCGAGAGCGGCTTGGGAGTGGGAACTGCGAGCAGTCAAGCTCAAGCACGCGGGAAGAACGTCGTTTTTTGTTTTGAGGGCTAAAAAAGCGGGCATAGAATAGTGTAGTGGAGGTGTTGGTGAAGTGGAGATGGGGCTGGACAACATGAATGATCCGCAGGGTATCACCGGAGACCAGGTGGCGCATGAGAGCGCCGCTTCCATGGAAGCGCAGGTTTTGACCAAAGCCGTCCTCTCATTGCCTCCTCAAGCTGTCAAGGAATTGGTGTCAATTGGGGTGTGTATTGTTCTTTGTGCTTTGGTCTTTTCTCTTATAGAAGGTCATTACTCACTACTGCTAATGCCTTTTCTACTTCATCTGAGTAATAACAACCCCAGTTAACAAGAAGCTGTAGGGTCGAACCCCGTTAACAAAACCGTGGGGTTGGTCCAACTTCAATTCATGTTTATGTCTTTTTCCATTCATTCTTTGTAGCTTTGTGTGGATTTAGCTTATATCATGTAATGCCTTTTCTTGATAGTTTATGATTGGTATACCTTTTTTGTAATATTAATTATGCTGCAGGTGTGTGCTAGATGCATCTTCCGGCTCTTTGGGGTGCGCGGCGAATGTACTTATTCCTCATCGTTGCTCTCACCATCAATCTTCAGTTCAATCATTGAAGAACCCAAGGGTTCCAATGATCATTATTTGAGTAGTTCACATTCTTGTCAAGAATCGGTAGTTGATCCAGTATTTTGTAGAATTTGTTTAGGCATATTGGAATTTACCTACGAGGAGAAGAAAGAGATGTGTGTGAAAAGGGATTCTGTTAATGACTTTGTCGCATCAATTGTGCAACTAATAAAGCAAGAGGGTCACCAGATTGATAGCTTTTCGATCGAAGTTGCTATACCTTCGATTATATTGGAAAATGAGAGGGTTGTTCGGTAAGTTGCTATTGTTGGATAACCGTTTAGGATGATTCTTGCAGTTTTAAGCTTCCATGGGTGTGCTTAGGCGATGAGGAGAGATTCCATAATATAATCACCAACCTTCTTTTGTAGGTTTTATATGGAAAAGAAGTATGGATCTGAAGTTTGGTTCCAAGAAAACTTCCTTGGTCATAATATCTCTGTGAAGGATGCCTTAAAATTATCAATAACGGGTTTACTTGAAAAGTTGTTGGTAATGGGGAATCACTCTTTTTTCTGTTTTTTTTCCTTGTTTCACTTTTTCACTGCTTAATCTTCTTGAGATTTTCTTTTCAATGAGATTGAAGTATTTAACATGTATAGTGCATAATTTCCCTTAATCTTAGACTATTTAACATGTATTATGCATTCCCCCTATAACCATATGTGAAATTTGAATTGTTGCAGGCTGTTAAATGTGGTGAAAGCTCTTTCCGCATTCGTCTGACATATGCCCATGGTAACTTATCACTGAATCTTCAGACTATATCAGAAAGGGAGCAGGGTTCCAAGAGAATGAAAACAGGCATGTTCTAGGCCATATTATTAGAGTAATTTGTTTCTAATGCTCTGGGTCTTATTATTAGACTACCCCTGTACTTTAGGGGTAGTCTAAGTTTAGTATCCGAACTTCAAAACATGTCACTGCAATACCTGAACTCCCAAAAACTTCCAGTTCAGTCCAAAATCGTTAACTGACATTAAGTGGCATGTGAAAGAATAAAAACTGACATTAGTGTCATCTGATTTTCTTTATCTACCACTTCCACATAAACCAACTTAAACAAAACTCATATAGCTAAAAGTTTATTATAATAGAGAATAAAGAAAGAAAGAAATATTGAAATGCAAATAGAAGCTCAGGATTTAGTCAGCACCTAAATACCCTACTGATTTTGATTCCATCCCTTGCTGAATGAAATCTGTAGAGAACACTGATGCGGGTCCCACGGCTGTGGTTTCCACTGTGTTCGTATGACAGCACATGTAACCTTTGTTAGTTATGTCAGTGTTAGTTGGTAGTTATCTTAGACAGCTCGTTATTTCAATTTATTATTTGTTTTATTTGCCATGTAAGCATTAAGGACAATGCTGCCTTTTCCCACATTTAGTGAACATAGCCTATAAATATTGAGAGTGGCGGCGGCAGATTCATTCGATCTGTCCCTCCTTTCATAACCCTTGTGTACTTCTGCTTTCTTCTCCCTCTTTCTTCTACTTTTCTCAATCCGAAATCTTTTGGAATTCAAGATGGACTGTAGTCTTGATCGACTACTTGGTATCAGAGCCTATCTAGGGTTTCTCATGTGAGTCTAGTCCAGCCGACCACATGAGAACTGTCTAGAGCTGGAAGCTTACAAAGGACTGTTTGTTGGCTGATTCTTGGAGGTTACCAAAAAAGTTTAGCAGCTGTCCGAAGACTTGTAGAGGCTTGGAGAGTGTTTTGGTAATCATGAAAAATCAGAGAAGGTTAGGGTTCAGGCCACGATTGAAGGTAGCGATCAGAGTTTTTTGGGTAAGTCTTTATTTTTCCCTTGAGATTGCTGTCAGTCAAGATAGGTTGGACCTATCTAGGAGGAGCAGTCAAACTCTCCTATTCTTTCTCAGAGGTGATCAGTTTTTTAGGGTTTGTCATTAACCCTATGGCTAGACTTGACTGTGAATTCTTTTGGAAGGTGCGGTTGAGCACTGTTTATGTTCTCACAAAGGTTTTCCTAACCCTATGATTAAAACCCTAATTCTGCTTCAGCATTACAGATTGCTTTCTAAGTGGTTTTCAGACCTGTTTTGGCTTCCAAGCCTGTTTTGGGGTGAGAACTATTATCGGACTGCTTATATTTTGATTGCCGATTGGTTTCAGATCAGATATGAACTGATTTCATACAGATTTCTGATTGTGATAAGTTGTTTAAGTGTTGTTTTCTATTGCAGTAACCCTAATAGTTCTTAACTATTGATTCTTAACCAAGAATGGAGTTCAAAAATCAGGGAGAAAGTGTTTTTGGGAACAACAGTTCTGGTAGTATGTCTGAGACTGCGTTTCAGATTATAACAGTGAGATTTGACGGATCCAATTACTTGGAATGGGCCCAATCAGCCATGATGGCTATTGGGGGAAGGGGAAAACTTAGCTACCTATTGGGAGATGTGAAAGAACCTTCCAAGGAGGACCCAATGTATACCAAGTGGGTTCAGGAGAACTACTTGGTTATGACATGGTTGTGCAACTCTATGCAGCCACATATCAACCGAAATTACTTGTGGGCAAAGACAACCAAGGAGATATGGGATGTCATGAAAAAGACCTACTCCCAACCCCTTAATGTTGCTAGAGCCTATGAACTGAAGTGTGAGGTGAATAACCTTAAATAAGGAGAGAAACCAGTCTCTGTTTATTTCTCTACCTTGAAATCTCTGTGACATGAAATTGACCATCTGGAGACTCTTGAGTGGGAAAGTCCAAAAGATGCACAGACCCATAGAAAGCAAGTCGAGACTAATAGGGTGTTTGAGTTTCTGGCTGGGTTGAATTCAGATTATGACATTGTGAGACAACAGATACTAACAAGAGACAGTGTGACCCTATCTCAAGCCTACTTCCTGTTGCATAGTGAAAAGACCAGGAGAAAGGTTATGATGCAACATCAGCCCTTCCCCCCAGCCCTGGCAACAGTTAAACCCAAGTCTGGGGGTGATACAGAATGGGACATGAAGAAGGAAGATAAACGGGATCTAGTATGCGAACATTGCAAGAAACTCAAGCATACGAAAGATACATGTTGGAAGCTACACCCTCATTTAGTCCCAGCAAAACTGAGGAATAAAAGGGGTAATGCTCATATGGCTGTGAATACTGATTCTGCATCTTCGTCGGGCACAAAGGGCACGCCCCTAGATACCTTAGCTATTGTTCGGGTTGCCCTAATACAGTTGGAATGAGGTTGGGAATTCAACTCAGTCATTTCAGTCACCATCAGCCCCTGCCACATCAGCATTTGCTCATTCAGGTACTCGGGCCTCAGTTTACCATGCTTCAGCTCCAGGTAACACTAAACATTGTTGGGTAATAGACTCRGGTGCATCTGACCATATGACTAGCTTGCCATCACTGTTCACTACTTATCACTTATCTTCTGGTAGAGATAAAGTATCCATTGCTGATGGTTCTCTTGTTCCCATTTTTGGCAAGGGTGACATCAAGTTATCTGATACTATCTCTTTATCCTCAGTCTTGCATGTTCCTAAACTTGATACTAATTTGCTTTCAGTCAGTAGTATTACAAAACATCAAAACTGTTCAGTAACCTTTTTCCCTGACCGATGTGTTTTTCAGGACTTGGAGATGAGGAAGGTGATTGGGACTGGTCGTGAGATGAATGTGATCTATCTACTTGGAGAGAGTTCTCATTGGAAAGAGCCTGTGGATAAGAAGTCTTTTGTTTCTCAATCTGAGTCCGGTTATGCTTTGGCATAATCGGTTAGGTCATTTATCTTTTCGGTCTTTGAAAAGTCTGTTTCCTATTTTATTTGAGTATGTTGAGATGTCAAATTTGAGAGCTTGCCAAACATTGTAGAACATCTTATTCCTTGAGTAATAAAAGAAGTGGTAATTCTTTTGATATTGTGCATACCGATGTTTGGGGGCCGTATCACACCCCTTCTATGGGTGGGTACATATATTTTCTGTTGTTTGTTGATGACTATACTTGGTTTTCTTGGGTCTATCTTATGCGTTATCGAGATGAGGTTCCCGCTTTGACACAACTTTCATTAGATGATTTTATCCCAGTTTGGGGTCAAAATCAAAGTCCTTCGATCTGATAATGCAAAAGAATACTTTGCCAAGTCACTGGCTTCTTATCTACTCGATCATGGGATCATTCACCAAAGCACTTGTCCTCATACACCACAGTAGAATGGGGTTGCCGAGAGGAAGAATAGGCACATTTTGGAGGTGGCTAGAAGCATTATGTTTACCTCCAATATGTCTATCCGTTTCTGGGGTGATGCTATCCTCACGACAGTGTATCTCATTAATCGGGTTCCTTCACGGGTTCTTGATATGAAGCCTCCGTTTACCCTTCTATACCCAGACGATGAGTTGTTTACTGTTCTTCTTAAAACCTTTGGTTGTACCTGTTTTTTCAGCTTCTTGGACCTCATCATTCTAAATTTGACCCTAAGGCCTCCAAATGCATTTTTCTCGGTTATGCACAAACTCAAAAGGGTTATTGCTGCTATGATCTTATTTCAGGGAGGAGATTTGTCTCGATGGATGTCACCTTCTTTGAGGAGGCACCCTATTATCCTAGGGTTTCTCCTCAGGGGGAGAGTAGTGACAATTTGGGCCTTTTTCCTCGGGGGGAGCGTAGTGAGAGTGGGTTAATTCATCTGAGGTTGTTCCTTTACCCATTCCATTGAGTGATGAAGGCTGTAATGGTGAGGGTTGTTAGAGGGATCAGGAGTTGAAAGTCTATCACAGGCGATGTAGGCAGGTTGATCTCGGTCATCAGCAGTCTAGGCCAGCCCCAGTTCCTTCTGCGGATCTAGATCCAAGTACTACAGTCCCAAGGCCCACTAAGATACCTTCTACTGTTGCTACTTCCCTTCCTTCTGATGACCTTGACCTCCCTATTGCGGTTCGTAAGGGGAAACGGCGTTGCACTACATCCACAGCTCACTGTATTTTCCAGTTTCTATCCTATGATCGCATATTTCCCTCTTACAGGTCATTTCTCACTTTCATTATTGATATTCCTATCCCAGAACAGTGCAAGAAGCCTTATCAGTTCCAGAGTGGAAAGATGCAATGAAAGTTGAAATGGATGCCCTTTTGAAAAATAATACTTGGGAGCTAGTTGACCTATCCAAAGGAAAGAAACCAGTTGGATGCAGATGGGTATTTACTGTGAAACATAATGCTGATGGCTCCATTGAAAGGTACAAAGACCGGTTGGTTGCAAAAGGGTTTACTCAGACTTATGATATAGACTATTTGGAGACTTTTGCCCCAGTAGCCAAGATGACCACTATTCGAGTTCTATTAGCCCTTGCAGCAAGTTACTCTTGGCCCTTGTTCCAGATGGATGTTAAAAATGCCTTTCTAAATGGAGACTTACAGGAAGAGGTGTACATGCAGTTGCCCCCTGGATTCTATGATACAGAGACAGGTAAGAAGGTTTGCCAACTGAATAAGGCATTGTATGGATTAAAGTAGTCCCTTAGATCTTGGTTTGATAGATTCAGACTAGCCCTTGGAAAATTCGGCTATGTACAGGCCTAGTCAGATCATACATTGTTCGTTAAAAGAGTGAACTTTTCTTTGACCTTACTTGCTGTATATGTGGATGATATTGTAATGACAGGGAATAATAATAGTGAGATTGAGTCCCTCAAATAGCTCCTTCATCAAGAGTTTGAGGTGAAAGATCTTGGTACACTGTGACATTTTTTTAGGTATTGAGGTTGCTAGATCTAAACAGGGGATCTTTATCTCTCAAAGGAAGTATGTTTTAGATCTGTTGGCGGAAACTAGAAAGTTAGGTGTCAAGCCTGCCGATACACCCATTGAACAGAATCACAAGATCAATGCAGAGGGTGGAGAGCATCTTGAAGACAAAGTTATGTTTCAACGGTTGGTTGGAAAGCTCCTATATCTCTGCCTCACACAACCAGATATCAGTTATGCAGTCAGTGTTGTCAGCCAGTACATGCATTCCCCTAGAACTACTCATCTTCTTGCAACTGAGAGAATATTAGCATACTTGAAGAGATGCCCAGGTAGAGGTATACTGTTCAAGAACAATAATCACATGAAGGTGGAGGTCTATACAGATGTTGATTGGGCTGGGAGTGCTGATGACAGGAGGTCTACCTCTGGATATTGTGCCCTTGTAGGAGGTAACCTTGTCTCTTGGAGGAGTAAGAAACAAAGTGTTGTTTCTTGCTCTAGTGTCGAAGCTGAATACATGTCAATGGCTAATGGAATGGCTGAAATCACTACTTGAAGAGTTGGGTATTGATTATGAGACGCCCTTGATGTTGTATTGTGATAATCAGGCGGCATTAATATAGCTCACAATCCAGTGCAGCATAACAGAACTAAACATATTGAAGTTGATCGACATTTTGTCAGAGAAAGGGTCTCATCACAAGAAGTGTGTCTCCCGTATATCACCTCCAACATGCAGCTCGCGGATATCCTCACCAAAGCTGTTCCAAGGAAGAAGTTAGAGGCAGACCTATTCAAGTTGGGAATGACAAATATCTATTCCCAACTTGAGGGGGAGTGTAGAGAACACTGATGTGGGCCCCACAACTGTGGTTCCCACTGTGTTCGTATGACAGCACATGTAACCTTTGTTAGTTATGTCAGTGTTAGTTGGTAGTTATCTTAGACAACTTGTTATTTCAATTTATTATTTGTTTTATTTGCCATGTAAGCATTAAGGGCAATATTGCCCTTTCCTACATTTAGTGAACATAGCCTATAAATATTGAGAGAGTGGCGGCGGCAGATTCATTTGATCTGTCCCTCCTTTCAAAACCCTTGTGTACTTCTGGTTTCTTCTCCTTTCTTCTCCCTCTTTCTTCTAGTTTTCTCAATCTGAAATCTTTTGGAATTCAAGACTAACTGTAGTCTTGATTGACTACTAAATCTACAGCCATCCATAACTGTATCAATGTATTCTTGAAGAATTTGAAATTCTTGGGAAACAATAGACAGAAGTAGAGGTAACACCTCTTTAGATGTCCAGGTAGACTGTCGTAGATCTGATGTGTATCCCTGGTAGTGAAGGTCCAAAAGCAATAACTTATGAAATGGGCAAAAAGACACGCCAGCATTGATCGGAATCATCAATGGATGATGGATGTATCACTATTTCTCTTCCTAGGAACGCAATCTAGGTTGTCACCCTAATATCCAACCCCCCCTCCCCAAATTCAAATTTCTTGATAAAGAAAAAAAATATGGGGTTTTAAGAGGTTCTAATAGTTCATGAAAAGTATCGGATTTGAATATTGAAGCTTCAAATCCGAATTTTCCTTGAGTTCAATTTCATACAATGTCTATTCTGGGGTGGAAGACAATGAACAATGTCTTCTTTTGAAGGGTAGTTTTGACATTTTTTAAAAGTTTTAAGTCACACATGTCATCATGTGATACAGATAACTGACGGACTGCTAAGGATACTGACTAAATTGACAGTTTTTGAGAATTCAAGTACTGCAGTGGCATGTCTTAAAGTTGGGGTACTAAACTGAGACCACCCCTAAAGTACAGGGTACTCTGGAATTTACCCTATTTTTTATTCAAAAGTTGGTGATTCAGTACATTCAGCTGCAATTAGACTACATTGAGAGAGCTAGTACAGCCTTTCATCTTGCACATTTTCATGACCTACTTTAGGTCTGGGACATATCTCATGATAATAAGGGGCAATTTGATAATGCAAGGTGCCAACCAGCTGGTTGTAGCAGAGACTTGGGATCGAATCCCGCCTGCATTTGGGTTGGGGGGGCTATGGGTTGGGGGATGGGCTACCCCTCATTGTGTAGCCCTTTCAGAAGATATCAAAAAAAGGGGGAATTTGATAACAGATGAAGTAGCTGAACTGAATCACTTATTGCTTTGTCATTTAGCTAATACATCATTATATTGGTCTTGGTCATGAATACCTTAATGATTGGATGGAGTGTTGGTCTCTGTAGTGTGCCCCTAAACATTTTAGTAGATGACCATTTTATCCACTAAAAGGCAAAGCTATAAGTCAATCAATTCAGCCACTTCAACTGTTATCAAACGGCTCCTAAGTCAATTGTATGAACATGTCTGTACTTTGCACTTGAGCTTGCTGTGACAAACATAAAACATCTTGTATTGCTTTTGGACACTAAGACATATGCTAGTGTCCTTAACTAGCTTCTGGTATACACATGTCATAATCTCGGGGTGAACTGGATGCAGGCCTAACCTTTGGCCTTTTTAGCACAAAGTGGATGCTCTCAGACTTGAAAAGAAAAGAGACAACCTCAAAAGGGAAAGAATCAATTCTTCATCACCTATTATTGATAGTGAATGCTCAACCCAATATTGGTAGTGACCTGTTGGTCCTAACATATCCTATCAACATTATTATGCTCACAGCACAAGCATGTAGCAAATTAAATAAATGAGCATTAACTATTCAGACAATTCAATACCTGAAGATTATTCAATGCTGACTTATTCTAGATTGACCTTGGTAGTTCCGTAGTTGGTAATTACTGGGCATCCAAAGTGTCATGGCATTTTGTACAATATGATCAAATAGGATTTTGATTGAGATAGATTATGACTAGCTAGAAAATGACAATTTCTGAAGAGTTTAGATGAGAGTGAGTTTATAGGTGCTAAATGCTGATATCTTGACAAATGGAAACAATACCTCTTTTACTAGAGCTGGGACAGACATCAGTATGGAATTTACAGTGAAGATTAAATCCAACATGAGTATAGAACCAGTTTTGAAATATCTGTGTAACTTAGGATGGTACAGAACAGTATCATGTTTTTATGAACAATGTCATAGAAAACATTGAGACATGTTATCTTATTCTTTTTGTATTGGGTAATGGTAATGCTTGTATTGTTTCTGCTGTGGTTCAATCACACTTTGCCCCATTGATGTCATTCTCCGCTTTAAAACTTTCATGTATATTATCAAGTTATTGTTTACTTCCTGGACATTAAATTGACTTTGCAGATTGGAACAGGAACAAGGGACACTTTGAATGTGTCTCACTCACAGAGCATTGAAAATTCTTCTAGTGAAGCAGATATAGATATTCACAAGTTTCTCAGTAATGTGAAAGATCAGGATTTTTGTGAACACTTAACATTGCCATCTAAGAAGGCAAGTCTATTATCTTTTTTTTTTTTTTTTTATCAATAACAGAAATCAATTTATTAATGGATAAAAAAGTTGCACAATAATCTGGGTAGAGGTTTAAGAGGCTTAATTCTCCCAAAAAAGAAAAAAGAAAAGAGGATTACAACACAGCCCAAAACATCTGTTCCCTTCCCACCCCTTGTTTCGCCAATGTATTTGCAAAAGCATTTGCAGCCCTTTCACCCATTGAAATTGAACCCCCATCCCCCTAGTTAATCATTTAGCTTCCCTTCTTTCGTTTGCATATTTCCACAGTCCATTGTCCTTTTGTAACCGGCTTAGAACCAGCTTTGAGTCTCCTTCAAGAGTTATCCTATTAATACTCATTTCCTTTGTTTTTCGTAAACCTTCTATTAAAGCACATATCTCAGCTCTAAGAGAGTCCCCATTCCCAATGGGGCCTGAAAACAAAGCAATCACCTTTCCAATCTCATCTCTAAACACCCCACCAACACCCGAGCAGCAGAATTTGCCACTTCCAGCCAGCTATTTAGTAGCATAAATGTAGAGACATTAGCAAACGTATCTAAATACTTCAGCCAATGCACCACCCCCTAACCAATATTACCTCAATGATACCTTCTTTGTTCATTTCCTTATCAAAAAGGGTCCTAGAGTTCCTCTCTTCCCATATAATCTACCAAATTGCAGCCCTCACACACCTCCACATAACCCTACCCCTTTTCTTAGGCCAACTAAGGAAAGAGGTGGCAAATAATCTTCGTATATCTGGTGGAGAGGTTCACCTGCAACCAAATAAAGAAATAAACCATTCCCATAATTCAGAAACAAAAGGACAGCAAATTAGTAAGTGATAGGAGCTTTCACCATTAGCCTTTCAGAGGGTGCACCGATTTGGGGACAAGCACCAATTTGGCCTTTTCTTATGGAGTAAATCTCATGTGTTTTTCCAGGAATGTCTCTCAACAAAAAGCTCCAATCCTTGGAGGGATCGGCTTACCCCATATTTCCTTAACTAGTAAAGACTGGATAGAATTGTTGATTTGTTGTGCCAAGGACTTAAAGAAAGAAGCACAAGAAAAGGCCCCAGAGGGGGACAAAGTCCAGATTCTACTATCCCTTTTTGAAGGGTCCAAAACCACCCCATTCAAAATCTGAATTAAATCCACAACATTTCCCAATTCTGACTCCCTAAGGCCTCTCCTAAGACCCAAATCCCAATCATACCCAAAATTTGACTCAAAAGGGACCAGAAAATCAGATACACACTTGCCTTTGAAACAGGAGAGGAGAACAAAGAGGGAAATTGGTCTTTCAGGGATACATCCCCCACCCAAAAATGTTCCCAAAATTTAACCTAATTCCCAGAGCAAAGGTCATACCTGATGTTTAGCAGAAATGAGGGAAGAATGGCATGTATGGATTTCCAAGGAGAGGCCATGTTAGTCCTTGCCACAAGCCTAGAGTCCTAGCCTTCAACTGCCTATCCATGAATATTCAATATTACCTTGGTCCACAACTCATCCCTCTCCCCTCCAAACCTCCCCAACCATTTAAAACAAGGCTTCATTTTTCTTCCGGATATTACCCAATCCCAAGCCACCCTCTCTACACTTGGAGACTATCTCCCAACTCACTTTATAATCTCTCCTTTCCTCCCCTGGCTCCCATAAGAAATCTCTCATCACCTTTTCCAACACTCATTTTTTCTGGGATTCTGAGCACAGATAAATAATACACCGGCAAGCTAGCTAATGTAGACTTAATCAGGGTGATTCTGGCACCTAGAGATAAATAATCTTCTTCCAAGAAGCTAGCCTTTTTGTAAAGCTATCAAATACTGGGCTCCAAAAATTGTTATTCTTCGGGTTATCCCCTAAAGGCATCTCCAAGTATATTATAGGCCACTGTGACACCTCACAACCCAAAATCTCAGCCCTTTCCCTCATCTCTCCTTCTTCCATGTTCACCCCTACCACACAGCTCTTTTCAAAGTTAACCTTCAGATTTGACATTTTTTCAAATAACTGCACTATCATCTTTAGATTTCTGACCCATCTCACATCCTCCCCTTCACAGAATAGAATTTTGTCATCAGCAAACAATAGATGTGTGATAGGTAACCTATCTCTTCTAACCCTCCACCCCCTAACTAGGTTCTTCGAATCTGCCCTCTCAATTAACTTCCCTAGCACTTCTGCTATCAAAGTAAAGAGGAATGGGGAAAGGGGGTCCCCTTGTCTAATTCCCCTAGTGGCTGGGAAATGATCCACTACAGACCCATTCACTAGGATTTAGTAATGACAGTCTCAATACATCCCAAGATCCATTTGCACTATTTTACTCCAAAGCCAAAGCAGTCCATCATTTGCATTAAGAACGACCAATCAACCATGTCATAAGCTTTCTCTAGATCCAACTTACACACAATTCCCTTCTTCTTGCTTCTCCTTAGATCCTCCACACACTCATTAGTAACTAAAATTTGGTCCACAATCTGTCTGTTTCCCACAAATGCCCCTTGATTCTATGATATTAAATCTAGAAGTACTTGTTTGATTCTTCTAGACAATACCTTAGCAATGATTTTGTACAAACTGTTAACCAAACTGATAGGTTTATATTCTTTCAGGTAACTTGCTCCAATTTTCTTTGGGACCAATGCAATAAAAGTTGAATTTACTCCTGGATTTATCACACCCCTTTGATGAAATTCATTGAAAACTATAAGGATATCCTGCTTCAATATCTCCCAACAATCCTGGTAAAAGGCCATAGTGAAACCATCCGGACCAGGTGCCTTAGGTCTATCCATTGAGAATATTGCCTCCCTTGTTTCCACCACCTCAAAATTTCTTTCAAGCCACTCCTTTGCCTCCTCAAAAAGTTTTGGCCAATCTAGTCTTTCCAACCAGATCCTCTGATTCAGGGGCCTTCTATATATGGACTTAAAATACTCCACAAAAGCCCTGACAATCTCACCTTGCTGAGTAAGGGTCACCCCATCAAACTCCAATTTTGAGATCAAAATTTTCCTTTTTCTCCCGTTAGCCATTGCATGAAAGAATTTGGTATTTCTATCTCCCTCCTTCACCCACTTATGCCTTGGTTTTTGTCTCCAACTAACTTCTTCTTTAAACAATATGTCCTCTAATTGCTTCCTCAGTTCCCATCTCTCTTCTTTATCCCTAACACCAAACGTGCCTTCATTTTCCTTTGCATCCAACTCCTCAATTTGATTCATCAGAACCTGTTTCCTTTCCTCAATCCTACCAATGTGAAGGGTGTTCCATTCCTTAATTTTTGCTTTCAGCTCCTTCAATTTCCAAGGTAACTTCATACCCTCCCAATTGGCCCGTGGGGCACTCCCACTCCACCCATCCTTAACTAGCTCCTTAAAACCCAGGTGGGACAACCATATATTCTCAAATCTGAAAGGTGACAGCCCTCTATTGCCAATATTCTCCCTCATTAAAACAATGGGCCAATGATCTGAGGTTACCCTGGGCAGGGATCTAGAAGTAATCGCCCCCCAGTGCTCCTCCCATTCTGTTGTGAATAAGAATCTATCCAACTTCAAATAGATAGGATTTGCCTGTAGGTTGGACCGAGTGAATGTGCCATGCGTCAGTGGAACCTCCTTCAGTTCAAAGAAGTTAATAAAACTATTAAACCTCCTCATACTTGTTTCCCCCACCCCTACCACTGTTTGTCTCCTCTACAAATCTTATGACATTGAAGCCCCCACCTAAGCACCATGGTCCTTCCCACAGTCCTCTTTTGTCTTGCAATTCCTCCAATAGCTCCTTTCTTTCTCTATATCTAGTTGGGTCATATGTATTGGTCAACACCCACTCAAACCCATCTGCCCTTTGTCTAAACTTGAGGGACACAGTAAACTTCCCAATCAACTCTTCCATCCCTTCTAAACTTTCTTCTTTCCACATTGTCACTATTCCCCCTTAAACTACCCCAAGCAGGGCTCATTGCTCAATTTATTCCCCTTGCCTTCCATACAGATCTTTCCCATCTCTCATCAAATTCCATTAATTTCAACTCTTTTTTTTTTGAGAAAGTTAATCAATATTCATTAATAAAAAAAAGAAATGAGATACATGAGGAGGAGTACAAAGCAGGAGAACTCCTACAATTTACAGAGGAAGTTTGTCGCTATAAAGATGCTCTAAGAGTGCACCACATTTAGCTAAGCCACATTAATTTCAACTCCTGAATCAGCACTTTATCTGGGTCCTCTGTTCTTATCACTTTATCAATGACCTTTTCCTTCTACCCCCCAACCCCCTAACATTCCAGCTTAAAGTATTCATTTCCACTTCTTTTTTTTATCCCTTTTTTCTACCCTTTTAGTTACTCCCCCTCCTTCTCCCCTTTCTCTCACTAAATTCCTCATCTTCTTCAACATCTCTTCTTAGCCTCTCAGCCTCACTCAATTTTCTCTTTTTAATCTTGCCATCCTCCTTTCCATTCCTAAAAAAGACCTTCAAATCATCTGGCTTCTTTACTTTACAGCCTAATTGCTCTGCCAAGTCTGCATCCGACACTTTCTGTTCACTTCTATTGGCACCCATCTTCTCTATTAAATCCTCAGATTTCTGTTCTCCTACTTTATCCCCATTCTTACTTCCCTGTGAACTTCACCCCCTAAACTCCTACCTCTGTAATCTTTCTCAACTTCTCTTTTCAGTTCCTCCAAGAATCTTTCTATTAACTTCCAAATCCTTTCCTCACTTCAATTATATCATCTTTATTTAAATTAGCTCTGGTGTATTTACACGGAAGCTATCAAATTAAGATTAGATTCTTTTGTGGGGTCCAAAGTCATTAAACATACATATATCTGAACTACTGGAATGGTGGAGGTTTCAAGTACTACATTTTTTATTACTAACATCAACATTGTTTTGGAATGTAGTGTGAAAATTAATTAACTCTTAATTATCTAGTTTCCCTCTTGACTGATATTAAATTTTGTTTTACTATTTTTTATAGGTTAATCAGCCATGTCATTTCTCTTTTCATTGTTATAGGATGCCTATCTACATTGGTGGTAGATACTTGAAGGTACGCATGAGATAATATGTCCATTGTTTCTGTCATAAGTTAATCAACTAAACTCATATGGTCATCTTCAATTAATTTAGAATATTTGGGGGGTTCATTCTGATTGAGTATTGGTCAACTGGTTAACTAAATTTACTCATTGAAAGAATTTAAAGATGCTTTTGTTTCTTACGTATGCCACTCTAACTGAATGCTGGTTGTCATAGTTTTCTCATTCTCATCACTAACCTTCATAAGCAATCTTCCAATATTACGATGTCGCTTATGTCCACAAATCATGAAACTAGTGTCAATCCATTAAAAGATAATTCTAGCCCCTTTTACCACCTGAACTATAGGCAAACATTTTCTGTAGCATATCACCTCAGTGAGGAAGTTGGGCTATTAGGTACTAGCCAATTTTACTCTTTACAGAAAATTAGGGAAAAAAGATGGATTGGCAGGACTAAAATGTGGTCATAGGTTGGTCAAGGAGTAAACACTTGCAATATAGGAACATTATGAGAGAGATTAAACAAATATTGAATGTAATGCAGTATCTTTCGTTTGGTCCCGCAGGTCAACTAATAATATATCTGACAGAATGGTGAAGCAGGGTGTAAATAGACAGAAAATGCTCTAGCACAGGATGTAATGTAAAATTTAAATGTGGGTTATGTGGCCTTCTGCCAGCTTAAAAAACCAAGGGGGAGAGCTGCTTCTGGTTGTACATAAGTTTGTTCTTTTATTATCTTAATTGCCTGATTTTACAAGTTAAACCTGAAGAGAGACTCAACTGTAAGCTGCTGTAAGTTCTTGTTGGAGGCTTAACTATGTCTTCTCCAGCAAGTAAAAGTCTTGTTCTGAATTTGAATGAATATAAAAAGCAATTCAAAGGACCTGTAACGGCCCAAAAATCATGAAATATTTTGAATTCCAAGAAAAACCTTGCTTTGATTTATATGTTGAGTGACCAAGCAAGTGATAGTGTGATACACCATTCAAATTATCTTTCTAATTTTTTGGTACTTTGTGTCAGGGGTGTTAGCTCATCACCTTAGTTATCTTTGTACTTGTTTATTTTTAATAAAATTTCTTCTGTTTACTATAAAGAAAAGCTAGTGATACAACATTACTACTTAAATATATTTCTAAGATCTTAAAACATGACGGAGGACCAAATCCTAGTGGCTAATGAGTGTGTTGTGGAGAAAAGGAGTAGAGAGAAGGGCTTGGTATGTAAATTGGATCAAGAAAAGGCCTATGATCTAGTGAATTGGAGTTTTTTGTTAGAAATTTTAGAGAGGCTAGGGTTTAGAGCTAGATGGAGGATGTGGATTGGGGGTTGTGTTAACTCAGACTACTATTCAATTTTTATTAATGGGGTGGCAAAAGATTTTTTTTCCTGACAAGGGGGACCCCTTATCCCCTTTCCTTTTCACTCTAGTGGTAACTAGTAAAGGTCTTGAGTAGAATGATTGTGGTTGCAGATGTACAAGGACTTTTTAGGGGATGGAGGGTTGGGAGAGATCAAGTAGTTGTATCCCGCCTCCAATTTGTTGATGATACAACTCTATTCTATGAGGATGTTGAATTGGAAATGGTGAGAATTTTAAAGTTATTTTTTTAGGCAAAATTTAAAGTTGTTGATTGAGAAATGGTGGGCATCTCCAGTTTAAGGATTAATTGGAATAAAAGTGGAATTGTTGGAATTTATATGGGGGAAGGGGAACTCCTATGGTTTGTGGAGGTGTTGGGATGTGAGATAAAGAATTGGCTTGTAACCTACCTAGGTTTACCCTTGGGTTGGGGGGAGGGACCTAAGAGTTAATGGATTTTGGAAGCCAGTGGTGGAGGGGTTTGCAAAGAAACTAGCCCTTTGGAAAGGAAAAAGTATATTTCCTTGGGGAGAAGAATTGCCCTGATCAGATCCATGTTAGCCAATAAACCTATCTACTTCCTTTCCACTACATCCCATTTAGGATAGAAAGACAATTAGAGAAATATGAGGGATTTTCTATGGGAATTGGGTTAGGAGTGCAAATGGTCTAAGCTGACTCCCTAGCTACACTAAGGGTCGCAAAGCAAAAATTTTACTGGGTTTCTTTGTAATCTATTTTATGTTTTTGGGGATGACATTCTTGTCATTAAATTGTACTAAATCCACTTGTCATCAATTTAGTAAAGTAACTTTTTGCTGAAAAGAAAAAACATCACTGAGGATATACTTAATTTTGAGTATAAAATCCAAAGAAACTACCTTAGAGCTATCTTCATAACCCATATAAGTTGCATCAAATATGGTTGAAAAAAAAGTCAAATAAAAATTAGTCAAATTCCATCCTACTTTTCTAAATGTTTCACACTTGCAAGACCTTTTGGGATCCATGTGGGGCCCAATACTAGGTGCATGGAGCCGTGGACAATTAATAAGAAGATTTGTGTTGTCTACAATGGGTTTCAAGAAGCCCAGTCTCAGCCTCTCAGGATCATTGAGGCTCCCAACATAGGGTTATTTTAAAGTCCCACTTTGGTGAACATAGGCTTCTCTTAGATTATTCAGCCAGGCTGAGGTGGACCAAGATTTCTTTAGCTCTCTCTCTCTCTCTCTCTCACACACACACACACACACACACACAATGAAAGAATACTTGTGAGTCATCATCTCCTTTGAAATCTTGTATTTCCCTTTCTCTTCTAACATTCTTGAAAACCTTACTCCTATAGATCTATTTTCTTCCACCATCTTCTCAAAAAAGTTAACCATAGACCCTTCGTAACCGATCATGATTGATTCTAGACTCATAAGGTTGTTTAGAAGATACCCTAGGCTTACAGAATCAGTTACTTTGTGAGAACATAGTGAATAACCATTAGCTCTGATGCCAGATTGATGCAGGACCAGCTCAATTCCAGTCGTTTGATAAAAAATTTATGGCTGCTGATGACTGCAATGGCTTCTTGAAGGAATAAGAAAGAAAATAGAGAGAGAATACCTGGAATTACTCACAGGGTGCCTAGAATCACTCACCACAATTAGTATAAGCTCAAGAAAACTCAATAGACTTAATTGATCTTTATGTAAGATGTCCATACATATTTAGTCTCATAAGAATCCTAGTAGGACTAGAACTGAACCACCATTCTCCTAATTTAATTCAAAGGCGACCCAATAACTCCAATTGAACTTATGCAATGACTCTGAAACTTAAAACATAAACAAACTATAACCGGAAAAATCAGACTCTATCATTGGACCCCACAGAAAATTGAATATGACGAAAATACCCCTACAGTGCAAAAAATACAGAAATACATAAAATTTCACAAAATTCCTATCTTGAATCTTCAGCACCTGCATCATTACCTTTTCAAAATAACTCTGGATTTGAAAAAAAAAATGGTAGAGGTCTGCCATGGTCCAACCAGCCTAAACCCACTCCCCAATATTGTGGTGAAAACAGTATCAAGGGGGTTTTGTAGTTTGGTTCAAATACTTGCACCACCAATTTAGTGGAGTTTAAAATCTATGGCAGGACTGTTATTTCAGATCCCGTGATATTTTTCTTTTTATTTGGAAGGATATCAGTTCTGATTCTTCCCTCAAATTCAGAAGCAAATCCTTAAATCCTGTATTATTGTTATTTAATTCAAGGTAGTAACTGCTATCTCTTTGTATAGCATTTATTGTGCATGGTTTATACTAATGCTGTAATAGCATGATGATGAATGATAAACTATATTTCAAGCAGCAAAGTGCCATTTTATTTCATTCCTATGTCTTAATATTATGTTAGTGCTATATGTTTTGTCACAGGGATATTATTGTGATTTTCATTTCATTAAATATATAATGAGAGGACCACTTCACTATTCTCTTGGCTGTCATGATTCTGTTCTCTTCACCTCTCTCCTTTACCATTTTTTTTTTCACCAAATATCTCCTTTTTGCATCTGAAATCAAGATAGTACTTAACAATCTTTGTCTTGGCAAAAAAAGAGATGCAAAAACAACTTTCTCACCTTATGCCAAAATGTCTAGATAGATAACACTATAGAATATAGCTCTTCTGGGGAAGATGGACCTTAGATGCTAAGTTGCATGAGTAGAGAAGCTTGATCTTTAGCTTCTTTTCCTTGAACTGCTTGTTCATGATAATCATATATTCAGTACGCACTTTTTCCAATGCTAACACCATTCTTTGTTACCCTACAGCATCCCGTTAGGGATGTTCATTATTTATTTATTTTCCTTTGAAATGCATTCCTTTTAGTCTGTTTCCCATTTCCCAGGAGCACTACTGGATTTTCTGAAATCTGAATTTGAAATAAAGCATGAACACATTTGCTCTCCACCTTTGACTGGCTGTTAATGCTTGTTTTCTTTCCACTGTAGTATTCAAGAAATGTCAGCCAAACACGGTGGATTATTGATGATGAAAGAATGGGTGAAGCATCTGTTGAGGTTCTATCTGATCATCTTTAAGGTTCTTGTCATCCAAATGGAGTTGTGAATTGTTTGACATACTGACTGGTTAATGTTCTTCTGTAGGAGATAATAGGGAGCAATCTGCTTCCTATGTTTCGTGGTGACAACTACAAGTTTCATGCTGCCGGTAGAGAAGATATTGATGTACTGCATATATATTTTCTTTGCAGTGTGCATGGATTTGGTGAATGCCCTCTGATCTATGACTTTTCCAGGTTCGGATGTTGGGTTCAGGTCGACCTTTCCTGGTTGAAATACAAAATGCACACTGTATTCCTTGTAAGATTTCTATCAAAGAAATTGAAGAAAAAATAAACAGCCTGCAGAAAAAATTGGTGAGTTCAATGTTGCAGTATTGCTTGTGACTTCTGAATTTGGATGATGTAAGTAACCATACTGATACATTTGGCACTCAGGTTGGAGTGAAAAACCTCAAGGTTGTAGGGAGTGAAGGGTGGACCCTGATGCGTGAAGGAGAGGCAGAGAAGCAGGTTTTACATGTCACTGCATTATGTCATCATACTAATAACTAGTTACTGCATTATGTTGTTTTTGTTCAATGCAAATGCAAAATAGATTTAGATAATTATACCTGGGCTAAGTGGTATTACAGAGCTGTTTATTTTATGCAGAAGCAATATGTTGCACTAGTCTGGATTTCTCGCCCACTCAAGGATGAGGACATCGAGATTATATCTTCATTTACTGACACGGTGATGTTTTGTGCAATGCTTTTCATTCTGATGTGATGGAACAAAGTTATATGCATATATTCTGTTTTATCCTTTTGTATTTTTTGTAGTGTAATGTGTTGATATGCATTTCTAGTTATATTTCATGATCATGCAAAAAGGGTAAATTTCAAAGGCCCCCTATACTATGGGGTCAGTGACAATTAACTCCCTGAACTTTTGTTTGCAACAAAGACCCCCCTGAATTTTCACTTGGCAACAAATACCCCTCTCTGTTAAGAGTTCCATTAGTTCCATCAGTTAACTTTGAAAAAGATTCTCATTCAGCTATTTAAATTTTTTAAAATCCCCAAACAGAATGGATTTAATATTCAGATGATTTTTTTTTTGATAAATGATAAAAGTTTTATTAAAAAGAGAAAGGATTACATCAAAGAATTACAATAAACATCCAACAGAGGTGCAAGATGCAGCCACAATCTTTTTCTTTTTATGAATGAGATGCAGCCCTAATCAGAAACAGAATTACAACCAAGCCCAAAATAGTTCAGACTTATGCCCCCCGCAAGGTAATCAGCCATCCCATTGTCATGTCTCTAACCAGTCATTTGAATCTTTTCATATGTTCCTTGTATTTCCAAATTACTTTTTCTGGTTCCTTCAACCACCCTCTTATCAGTTTAGAGTCACCTTCAATTAACAGTGTGTCATAATTTAATTCTCTAGCAATCTGTACTCCTTACAATACGGCTTGGAACTCCACAAAGACTGAACCCCATGCTCCAATTGGACCTAGGCTGCTGCCATCAAAATTCAGTTTGATAAGACCTTCTTCCAGGGGTTTCCAAGCAACAATTGGAGGAAGGAGTGGATAATTTTTATATTTTAAGATGAAGAGAGACATTCATGTCAGTGAAATGAAACAAGGATTTAAAGAAACTTGTTTTTCTATGTCAGTGAAATGATTCTTGTTATTTTAGTTGGTTTTGTTTGGAGAAAATTGAGGTATTTTTGGGCCAATTAGGGTTTAAGAGAAGAAGGTGAGGAAAAGAAAATAAGAAAAGTTTAGGTGAGTATTTTTGTAATTTAATGCATTTTGTCATGACTTAACTGCCAAGGGGGTATTTGTCATCACTGACCCCATAGTACACAGGGTTACATGTTTTAAAAAAGCACTGCAGGTGCACGTCTAGAGATACACCTACAGGCTAGGCAGTAAGAAAATACCCTGAAGGCCTTGTTTGTTTTTCAGGAAGCCATTTACCTGGGTAAGTGCACTTATCCGTGTTCTTATGAACAAAAACTGTTTTCCCCCTGGTGAGAAAGTTACTTACCCATCTGGGAGATGGGCATCATTTACAGGGAAAAGAAACTTACTGTGGGACCCATGGGAAGCTAACTTTCCCCTCTATTTACCGAAAAGAAAACAGGGCCGAAGTGTATTTTAAAGGCATGGACGCACACGAGGCATACACCTCTAATGGTGAGGTATGCAGAAAGGTGTGTACGCTTTGTATAAGGCATATGCCAATGTTGCACTTTATACAGTTGGCACATGTCTCGTGTCTTTATTTTGTTATAATTTTTATATAATAAAGTATAATAAAGCGAAGCAGGACACCATTTTATCATGCTCCCTGTTACATATTAAACATTATAAAGGAGGAAAAACCTCCAAACAGAAAATAGCTGTCTTCTCTTAGGTTTACTATTTGTCTTCGAACAAGAAGAACCTTCAAGCTCCAGCTGTAATGAGATAGAAGCTCCAACTGATGCTGCTGCTGTTCTTTTTGGTTGTTATCATAAAAACAGGTTTCTCTTCTTTTGCTCCTCAGAAAACAGATGGTCCATTCCCAGTGATATGGTAAATCTTTTTGAGAATAGATTCTTCTCTCCTAACACTAATATAGCATGGAGATGCACCAGATCCACCATCTTCTGGTCAATTTGGGAGGAAAGAAATGAAAGAAACTTTAGGGAAGAGATTCATTCAAAAGAAGCCTTGATTGAGAATATTGCTTTCAAAGTAGCCCACTTTGTCATTGCAAAACCTTTCTACATTTCTCAGTAAGTGACATCTTAAGAGGCTGACAACAGATTGCAGAATCATCCTCTTCCAGAAATTTAACAGCTAGCATATGTTCCCCACAAATAAACTTTATAAAACTAAATTTTGATGGCTGCAGCTTGGGCAACCCTGGAATGGCAGGAATAGGGATTTTTTTAGCAATCATGAGGGGCAGTGTTGATGCTCTGTTCAGGTCCTATGGGTCAAAGTAACTTGATTTAGGCAGAACTGATGGCACTGTTGCATAGGCTGAAGCTAGGGAAGACACTAAGCTATGGTGAGCTTATAGTGGAAGATGATTGACAAACTGTCATTGGGTGGATGAAGAACAATAGCCAAGGACCTTGGTGTTATACACACACACAAGAGAAGAACCACATCTATCAAGAGATCTAAGTATCACTTTCAATTGAACATGGAGAACAACAGATTGTATGGCAGATACACTAGAAAGACAAGGAGCTAACAGGGATCAAATCTATTGGGGTCCACCCATAGGGACTAAGAGAATTTTGTGTAATTAGAAAAGGGGGAAATGGAGATTGGATCCCTAATGTAACTTTGGTTTATTTTACTCAATCTATCTTGTAAAATACCTACCACTATTTTCTCTCTTTGAAATTTCTCCTTTTTACCTTCAAATATTAAAAGAATCAGAAATTTGCTACAAATTACTTAAAATCACTTGCTTTAAAAAAATGCTAATTGTTATTGTGATTTGTAATTGCTTGGAAAAATTATGTTGTTTTTGATCAATAACAGCACTTTTATTAAAAGAGATGTGTAAGATACAACCAGAAAGGAGGGGTAAAACGTCTTACCCTCCCTTTCAAACCCGAAAAAAACATATTACAGAATAGCCCAAAACAAATTAGATCTTCCCACCCCCTGTTTAGCCATGGAATTGTTACTCCTCTTAGCCCATTGAAACCTTATAGTCATGTTCTGAGTTAGTTGCTTGATTTTCTTTCTTTCATTTGAAAACTTCCACATGCTGGACTCTTCCATCTGCAACCATCTAACAGTCAGTTGGGAGTCACCTTCCACCAGCAACTTGCTAATATTCAGCTGCTTAGCCCTTTTGACTCCTACAACTGCTAGGATTTCAGCTCAGAGAATCCCCCCAGCCTATAGGTCCTGAAAACATAGCAATAATTTGCCCTTCTTCATTCCTGAAAATACCACCTATGCCTGAAGAGCCTGGATTTCCTTCACTACTACCACCAAAGTTCAATTTGATGAAACCCAAGTCTGGTGGAGTCCAAACAGGTCTGATAACACTAGACATAGGAGCTGACTGAGCCACTTCTTCCCAGTTTCTAATGATGTCTCCTACTGAATAGGCTTCAAAAAGCTTCAAAGACTTGACCCAATGAACCACCCTGACATATACAAGTTCTATGAGGGCTTCCCTGCTTTTCTCTTTTTCATGAAATAATCTTGGAATTCATTTGTTGTTTATGCAAATTTATGAAAATTGTGGACATGTGATTTGTGAGCTACATAGTAACATAGTAGAAAGTGATGGATTGATGCTTGATAGACTTATATTTTTTTCTTTCCTTTGTCAGTTATAAATTAATGTCTTGTAATTGTTATGTTGTATCATAGCATCACATTATCAAGTCACAATTGCATCTATTTCTAGAATGGCTTGAAGGGAGTGGAATGTTTCCTGTCACGCTTCAGCATTTTAAAATGTTGGTTAGATCATCTAATCTGTTCAAATGTTGGTTCAGATAATACCAAGAAGCAAGTTTCCAATCTGAGCATGATGTGACAGGGACTGGTTTCTTCTGTCCCAAGCAGGTCTTTTACAAAATTGTGATTATGCTGATGTTGATCAATATGTATCGACTTAAAAAAGCATGATATATATATTACAGATCTATTTTTATTTGAATGATCTGATGCAGAAAATTTGAGGAGATGCTCGGGATGTAATTTTTTTTTTTCTTGTGCCCCTTACAAATGCATTGTACACCATCTGGGATACTGCATTTGGTGTGGGACCCATAGAGTAACTGATAGGGAACCTACATGAAATGTGGTGTTCCAGATATGCTGTAATGATGCCATTTTGTAAGGGGTGCAAGCAAAAGACCTTGAATCCTTAGCATTGCTCTTCTCGTAATATGCTACCAACTAGGATCTGGTGGCTAGAGTTTGACCCTTTGTCTCTTTCTTCTTTTTTACTTCTCTTCTTGATTGGTTTCCTCTCCAAATCATAGCGCTCCAATTTCAATTGCTCCTCAAGTCACTCCATTTTGCGAAGGCATTTATATAATCCTTCTTTAGAAGTTGAGAACTATACCCTCATTTATGTTATTTTCTTGGTCAGCGTATTTTGCAAAGAACCCCAATTAGGGTACTCCATCGTCGAAGTCCATTAGAACGTGAAAAGATTATACATTGGTAGGTTGCATTCCGGGGTACATTTTTTAGGATGAAATTGATGTAGCTCTAATATTGTAGTTGGTTCCCGTTGCCTGATAAAAACTTGCATTTGATGCTAGGATGAAAGTTGAAAAGATTACCGGGAGCTCACAGTATTTTCTTTTGCATTTATGCACTCAGGTACTTTTTTATCAGTTAACTATTTTAAGACTATAATTAGAAAGTTTTTTTAGTACGTTTATTCTTCCATTGAATACATTTAAGAAATCAGGTTATGTTGGAAAAACACTTAAGTTGAATGTCTCAAATATAAGGATGATTTAATAATGTTTCTTTCTGCCAATCTTTCCTTTTTTTCCTTTGCCCTTTAGATCAGTACTTACCACCTTCCCATCTTGTCTTATTTTGATGAAATCTACACAGGCTGGAACTTATATCAAGGAGTTTGTTCACGGTGATCTTGGCCGCACCCATCCTAAGTAATAAACTCTAAATTCCAATTATTCAATTTACTATTCATCCTATTAGTAGCTTTAGCAGTTTCCATAATTTCCTTATTTTCCTCATCAAATTCTTGTTGAGTGAGAATAATAAGAAAATTAGTATGTCCAAAGCCATTAAATTTATGCTTTAAATTTATTCAGCATTCTTATAATTTCCATTATGATACATTCCAATCTGGCTACTATTTATTGGCTATGTTATGCTTCAGTTTAAAATCATGATGCTGTTAGAATCAACCTTGCGGATATCATTAATTAGCTCTAGTTATGTGGGGTTAGACCAACCTTTTAGACTGGTGAAAATAAGAGAGGAACAGAAAATTGAGGGAAGGTTCTTTAGGAATTCCATAAAATTCATTTAGAGCTTTCCCACTTTTCTGTTTCTCCCTTATTTTCTATCAAACCAAACATAGCCTTATTGTCTTCCGTTTGTTATTTCTTTCTCTTTTTTTTTCTTCAGATTTTCTTTTATTTTGCAGCGTGGGTTCAATTCTAGGTTGCAGAGCAGAGATACTACAACTTGATGTTACGGAAGTCAAGATGGACTGTTTCTTAACTGACGACGGTCCAATGGAACAATAGATTGAATGTTTGTAGCTGTCTGAATGAGATCCATTGTAACTTAATCTTGTTTAGTTGGATCTTAGGTGCTCTGACTGTAATTGCTTCTCTTCTGTACAAAAGCCCCATTTTACCATCTGTGTATTTGTCTCATTATTATTATATCTATGTTGATTTTGTATGAATGCTAATTCATGCATAAGGTATTTGCCTTACTAAAATATAATGTCTCCATACCTAACTGGTTTTGTAGTGTAGCCTGCATTTTCACAATAGATTAAGCCATAAATGCGGCCAAAAGCAGAATCAAAATGTTCCTGTATATTGTGTAAATTTAAACATATATTTATGACTTACAGAACTCTACTTAAAAATAAAAGTTCCCAAATTATTAACCCCATAGACCATGGTTTGAAAATTTGTTTCATTTGAATGATGCATATTCTAGGGTCTTTTTCTATTATAAAAAATGAGTTTATTATGTATCAGGCTATCAGCCTTGAGAGAGTTTTTTGTATTTCTTTTTTCTCTTTTTCATGGGGCTACACGACGGGGATCGTCCCCCATGTGCCCATAACCCCCTCCCTCCAACTCCCAACCCTGAGCCACCATCAATTGTAAATGTCGGTCAGTGAGTTTATAGACCCCATTTCACAAGCTAATAGCAATAGGTCCGGTTTCTAAACGTTGTTCAACACTTCAACATTCAATCCCAGATCTAAGGTTCAAAGTTCTGCAGCCTTTCTAGCAATTGAAACCCAGTCTAATATACCATAGGAATTAGACCCCATTTCACAAGCTAATAGCAATAGGTCCGGTTTCTAAACGTTGTTCAACACTTCAACATTCAATCCCAGATCTAAGGTTCAAAGTTCTGCAGCCTTTCTAGCAATTGAAACCCAGTCTAATATACCATAGGAATTAGGAGATCAATCCTTTTGCCGTTATATGGATCAGTTGATTGACTTCATTCCCATTGGTTATGCAGATTTATATAAAAAACTCATATTCATATGTTGTGTCAAGAAGATTTTGTTAGAAAGCAAACCGGTCAAGAATGGTTTTCAACAACACTGGGCTTAAAAGCACAATGCTATTTTATTAAAGAAAATTCTTGATTTATGATCACTGGGATATTTTATTGTATTAAATATGCTTAAAATTACAGTCAAGAACACACAAAACTAAATTTTACATTACTAGTAGGACAAATATTGGTTCCCTGTTCTGAGTTTAACTCAGTGTTTTGCTTGTATCTTTATCATATCTATAGCAGGAGTTTTGCACCTCTGCAACGTGCTAAGGGACAGAGTGGAACCCATTAATTCCATGGTTCCCATAGCATCTTTTAGTGCGTTGCAGTGGTGCAACACACCTTATGGATTTCCGATTGCCTGCTAGTAGTATACTATTCCCTTGTATATAATTGATGACTGGTAATATGAGAGGAAAGATAAAATCATATATCCTCAATAAGCGGGATTTCATTAATGGTGAACTCATAATGTCCCCGCAACCTTGATTCCCTTTTGAAGCTGTTTCTGTTAATGAACTCTTCTCGCTCCCTTTGCATCTTCACCCAATATTCTGGCTCCTCTAACAACTTCAGAATCTGCAAAATGTTCAATAACATGGAAACCTATTATTTTTTTTTTTTTTGGGGGGGGGGGGCGCCTTGATAAGATGATGATATTAATAAGAGTAGAATGTACAATATACGTGTTTTACGTTCACGTGGACAATTTTTTTCTAATATTGCCAACCCAAGGATGATTTTCATTTTATTTTATCAGTTGGCAACATATTCACAACCACATCATTAGTCAATCACTTGTCATATATTTTTCGACCTTTTCTCTTCTTGACACATGTTTTCTCAAAAAAAATTGATTATTAAAATTTATATTTATAAATATTAACAGAAATTATATTGTTTTTTTAAGAATTAGGATAAATATTTATATTTTGGGATTTATCGAGGTTTCCAACCTAATGTTCATGGTGTTTGGAAGGGTGGGCGTTTTTAGGATCGATTTTCAAGAAAAAAATGCTCATGTTTTCAAGATGTAAAAAACGCTTATGCCACATAGGCGGTGAGTAATACTATACTGTTTGGTAAGTATAGTTTTTTATCACCATTTTTCATGTATGTGCTGACAGGTAAGTACCACATATGATATACGTTAGTCAACGGTTGGGGGAAATGCATGAAACACTTTCATAGGCGTTTGTTAACGTTTCATGCATCGGTGGGGTCCCGATTTTCGAGACATGCCCGATTTTTTAATAATCGGCTGAACAAACGTGGCACCATTTTTTTGAAAAACGGCCACGGCTGAGCAGCGGGAGGTGTTTAATTGTGAAAGCGGGGGTGTTAAATTGTTAATGGATGGCGGAAAAGTCTTATTAGTGAAAACGAAAATTACATTTACATACCATTTTCATGGTTGGTCTCCTAGAAGACGAATGCATAAGGCAGAGTCGGGCTGCAGTCATCATCCTCTCCATTTCCTGCTTCTCATAATCTCCATTCAGCTGGGGATCTATTAGTCGCTCACAAAGCCCACGGCTGAGCAGCGACCTTGCCTGTGAATCCCAAAAAAAAAAAAAAAAACGGTTGCAGATGGTTAAAAACACTTGTCGGTCAGTGGCGAAGGAATTGAAGATCCACCCCCACCCTTTTTTCTCAGCAGTAGCCAGTAGGTAGTGTTTTTCATTAGTCATTACCCAGAGTACTAAGCTTTCATGAGTAGTCGCTTGACTTGTCTGGATGGCCTCTTTTCCAGAGATGAGTTCCAAGAGCACGACACCGTATGAGTAAACATCTATCTTCTCATCGACCTTGCCGTACATCATGTATTCTGGGGCCAGGTATCCGAAGGTCCCAACCACATGGAATGGTTTCATGTTTGCTGAAGGTTTCAGAGATTGGTGATATACCACCGCTGCTCCAAAATCTGATAGCTGGAAAACAAGAAAAATTAAACCTGTTAATTATGTTTATGCCATGGGAAGATTCTCTCATGAAATTGTGAGATCCTGATGTACACATGTATTAATTTGTGAGTTAACTCGACTGAGGGTGAGGGATATCGATCGAATGAAAAAAATGTATTCGAGTTTAACAAGTTACCTGGGGCTGGCAGTGTTGGGTGAGGAGGACGTTTGACGATTTCACATCTCTGTGGATGATGGGAGGGGAACAAGAATGGTGAAGGTAGTCAAGTGCTTTTGCCAATCCAACTGCAACTTTCATCCTCTCACTCCATCCGAGCTGTCTCAGTTTGTGCTTTAAGCTCTCCTGAAGAAGATCATACACCATTGCTTTCATATCCTTGCTATAGCAGTACCCAAAGAACCCAACTATATTCTCGTGGTTCAACCTACTCAGCATCTCCACTTCCTTTATAAGCTCCTCACCTGATCTCTCGGTCGTCTTGAGGACTTTCACAGCTGCAGTCCGACCATCTTCAAGGTTGGCTCTGTAAACCTTACCATGGCCTCCCTCACCAATCAACATCTGAGGGACGAATTTATTGGTTGCACAGCTTAACTCTTGTGGAGTGAACCGCTTGGTGGTTCCCTTCACGTCTAGCTGTTCCAATCTCTTGAGATGGATCTGTTCCATATTCTCGGAGAAGTGCATTACGTTTGAGACATTGCCAACACCTGTGTTTGCTTGTACCGGTGATGACGTTGTTGAGGAAGATGGGGCAGATGGCTTTATAGATTGATGAATGGTTTCTGATTGGTTAGCAGCAGCAGAAGTATGTGTTGGCAAAGATGGCACCACAGAAGGTTGATGGAATTGAATCGTCGATCCTTGTTGTGATGTCCCAGGTTGCTGAATGAGAACTCTCCCTCCGTTGTCCATGATCAGAAGGGAACAAGTGGGAGGCAATCTTTTCAAGCAAGAAGAAACAATGGAGTCATTGGGCCTTCAAGATAGAAAGATACATGGGTTAGAGAAAGAGAGAGATTCCATTTAATTTCCAGTATATTAATTAGCTAGTTTCAAATCAATACCGTGGGCTGCTGCATCCAAGGACGAGTGTCGTTGCAAAGTGGACTCTTACTTGATGTGTTAAAATGGTTATGAATGAGTCTCCTCCAGCAGAGATCTTGACTTGAAAATCCACCTGCAGATATGAGAACAAGGCAGGACGTTAATGAATCATGACATGACATTGCTTTCCATGGTGCAATTTTCTAGTATATGATTTTCGTTTTCTCAACTTGTCTAACCTGTTTTGATTTGCAGAGATCTTCATGGATGTGAAAGGTATTTGGGTCGAAGTTGTCATTTGGTTCCTGCACATGAACAGCTAGCACGGTATCCCCAGAGTCAACAACCATGGTGAGTAGACGCAGAAGCATTTCTCTACTGCGGTTATGGGATTTCAAACCAACTACGACCATCCTCTTCTTCTTCGCCATCTTGCTTCCCAGAATTGATGAGATTCTGCGGTCCATACTCGGACTTCCGACGACCATTGCTAATGTGTAATTGGTCCTGATGATATTCTGAAACCACCATTCTATTGCATAATGGAGAATATCGTGATTGTCACATCCCCATGTCTGTCTCTATCTCCTATCCCATTCATTTACATTTGGCCATTGTCTGTTGATTTTTTTTTTTTTCCATTCTTTTGGGTGTGGTTGGGTTGGGTTGGGTTGGATTGGAATGGATTGGGTTTGGGGTTTCTTTTAGTTTTAGGTTAGACTAGTAGCTAGGTCCCCATATCATAAACTGCAACAATTATTAGTTGATAGTAGCTACTGAAAACGAAATCTAATTAACCCCCAGTCCCCACCAAGGCTGCCGACACTGATAACAAGTAATAAGAATGAACTGAAAGGTTATTATAAGAGATAAGGGTTAATCATTTCCAGGAAATGTTTTCTGGAAGACAATACGGGATTGATATATATATAAATATTGGGGAAAAAAGAAAAACCCTTGTTGATTTACTAGTCGATATTAGACAAACTAATTATAAACTGTAAGGACCAAATTGTTTAACAGAAGTATATATATATATATAGATGCCCTCCGATACATTAATCCAACGTACGTGTTAAGTATAGAATTTTTACTGGAGGATTTTTAATTGATTTCTTTACACCAAAAAAATCAATTCAATCAGATAAAAGATATATTGAATCAGTATCAGTATTAATTTTCAATGGCAAAACAACACTGATTGCATCCTTTGGAAATCAAGTGGTTTTTTTTTATGGTTGAATAAAACCATTCAATCAAAGTTGTTGTTTGGTGTAGCAGATCTCCCATATTGGACCTAAAACACATGCGATTTAGTTTGGAAAGATGTTCAGCTAATTGTATTATATTATAATTTAATAAACTAGGGCAAAGCTACTAAATGTATTTTATTTGACACAATTAAGATGCATGGTTACATTTGCATTACAAGCATGCTCCATTAATCCATAGTTAAGTTACCTAAAAATATGTTCTTCTGACTTTTCTCCTATTTTTAATAATCTGCAGGGCCCGTTTGGGAGGGATTCTGCGTTGACTAAATAGCTATGGAAAAAGAAAAACAACTACCTGACATAACTCATCATGTCCGAAAGGAAAGTTGATTTTGCAGCTTCTGCGACTCTATTTTTGACCTTCCGGCCTCCGGGGGACGTGCTTCACGGTGTTCGATCCTGATCATCAGCTAATGCCAAAGCCGCTGTATAAAAGCCCTCCCAAACGGCACTTGATCATGATGAGACTTGAGAGGGCAATGAATTAGCAGCGTCTGAAACCAGTTCCAAATAGTTTAGCCAACATAATGTTTGGCTTAATGGCTTTTCTTTATTGTTGATTTGAGTTGACGAAACCAAAGCAATATGTAGATGTTTCCCCCCAAGTTGGTCATACGATTTATTGCTTTTAAATGAGAGGAGGCCGAACTGGCTACGTGCAGTTGGATGCCATCTATCTATCTATCTATACCAATAACAAATTAACCTTAGCAACCATAAATTTTCAAGGTGTAGAAACCACACCGCACCGCAAAGGTAGAAGAAATGCAGATGGCACACATTAATGTGCAACTGGTCTGGTCTGGTCTGGTCTGGTCTGGTCTGGTCTGGTGTATCTCATTCCTCAAGCACAACCACTCAGTCTTTATTTAATATACGCCCAATTTAAGTGCATGTAGGTGTAGCCATAGCCATGCCATGTACCAGACTACCAGCAACCGCCTGTACTGGTTGGTGTACATGCCGCACTGATATCATAAAGGGCAACTCATAAATCATTAACGCTCCCTCCAACCTCCTCTCTCGTTTATTATTATTTATACAAAAATAAAAATGCATAATAAATTCACGGCATCGTCTGCTCGATATGGTTGTTGATGGTAAAGAAATAAAGCCCCCAATTTTTTCTTTCCTTCATGGTCTATGGAGTGCATCTTACACCATACATCTTGAACGATGTACCAGCTAGATGGACCTACATGGACTTCTCCAGATCTGCTAATTACTTATCACCTACATCATACATACATCTCCAATGAAACCACACCTACTGCCCCCTTTGAAGGGACCTATGCGTTGTTTCATACAGATTAATTTTGCCTCGTCTTTGGTCTAAGAATACTTGAATATAAAAATTAATAAAAGATTTTTGAAAGAATTAATTGATTCACGTACTGACCTTGCTAAAAACAACACTAAGAATGGCAACTTCAATTATACCAGAAGGGTGTGATACCAGATTTTTTTTTTTTTTTATTTAATATCAGAAGAACTTTGACAATCAGAACACCCCCCC